CATCTGCTCTGCACCCGCTCGGCACGCGCTCTCCACCCGCGCTGCACCCGTGCTGCACCCGCTCTGCACCCGCACTGCACCCGCTCTGCACCAGCACTGCACCCGCTCTGCACCCGCTCTGCACTCGCGCTGCACCCGCGCTGCACCCGTGCTGCACCCGCTCTGCACCCGCACTGCACCCGCTCTGCACCAGCACTGCACCCGCTCTGCACCCGCTCTGCACTCGCGCTGCACCCGCGCTGCACCCGTGCTGCACCCGCTCTGCACCCGCACTGCACCCGCTCTGCACCAGCACTGCACCCGCACTGGGCACCCACACTGTACCTTCACTGCACCATGTCTGCCCAGTCCTGCAGCCCCCCCCCCATGCAGCCCCTTCCCACTGCACTGCCCTCTCCCCAGGCCTCAGGGCACTGCCCTTGTGGCCCCTGTGGACACCCTGGCACTGCTGCTCCCCTTGGCTCAGCGGCAAGAGCGAGCAGTGAGGCACCCTGCCCCTGTCTCCCTGCCCCTGTTTGTGCAGGTGCCCTTCATCCCTTGGGAGCTGCCTCCCTTGTGATGGGCACTCTCAGGGCACTGTGGTCACTCAGTGTTTACAAGGATTCAGAGACCTAAATAAAACAACTCAGAGAGCAGAAACCTGCCTGGGACCACCAGGACACTTCTGAGCCAGAAACTCCCCTTGTGTCCTTGCCCTGTTCTTGCTCTTTAAGTAAAAGATGCAGTGGAGAAGCTGGGGGGAAGCAGCAGAGCGGGAGCTCTGGGTGGAGTGAGGGGTTGGGGATTGGTTCTCTGGGGGTTCCACCTTAGTGAAAAGCAGAGCTGCAGGGAAAGGCATCTGCTTCCCCTGGAGCTGGGCTGCTCTGTCCTGGCCGTGGAGCAAATACCTGGTGGGAGGCAGCATTTCATGTCCACTGCTTGACTTGCAGTGTCACCTCAAATCACCACTGGGAGCTGGGGGAAGGGAAGCTGCCAGGGAGCTGCTGGTGGCTGGAGGTCCCTGTTGTTGGGCGGCCAGGACTGGGGAAGCATTTGGATGGGTAGCTTGGAGTAAGGAGTTGAGTGGATCTGGAGCTGTTGTAGGGGAGATGAAGACCTGTCAGTCTGGGGTGTATTGTGGTGGAGGGACAAGGTGGCAATGCAGAAACACCCACTAAACCCTGCCTCTCCTGGCCACAGCTTTTGATGAGCCTTGGAAGACAGCACTGCTGGGTGAAAATTGTTTGCTGCTTCATCACAGAATCCCAGAATAGTCATGGTTGGAAAGAACCTCTGAGGTCACCACATCCAACCATCAGCACAAAAAAAACCCCAATACACTACCCGAATAATCCGGGGGAAGCAGCAGAGCGGGAGCTCTGGGTGGAGTGAGGGGTTGGGGATTGGTTCTCTGGGGGTTCCACCTTAGTGAAAAGCAGAGCTGCAGGGAAAGGCATCTGCTTCCCCTGGAGCTGGGCTGCTCTGTCCTGGCCGTGGAGCAAATACCTGGTGGGAGGCAGCATTTCATGTCCACTGCTTGACTTGCAGTGTCACCTCAAATCACCACTGGGAGCTGGGGGAAGGGAAGCTGCCAGGGAGCTGCTGGTGGCTGGAGGTCCCTGTTGTTGGGCGGCCAGGACTGGGGAAGCATTTGGATGGGTAGCTTGGAGTAAGGAGTTGAGTGGATCTGGAGCTGTTGTAGGGGAGATGAAGACCTGTCAGTCTGGGGTGTATTGTGGTGGAGGGACAAGGTGGCAATGCAGAAACACCCACTAAACCCTGCCTCTCCTGGCCACAGCTTTTGATGAGCCTTGGAAGACAGCACTGCTGGGTGAAAATTGTTTGCTGCTTCATCACAGAATCCCAGAATAGTCATGGTTGGAAAGAACCTCTGAGGTCACCACATCCAACCATCAGCACAAAAAAAACCCCAATACACTACCCGAATAATCCCCCACACAACAAAACCCCAAACAAACACCACACACACTTCACCAAAAACTCCTCCACTTTGAGGGCACCAGGGGTGGGGAGGGGGCACCTCCTGACTGCCTTCCACCTGCTGCTGCCATCTCGTGCCCTTGGTGCAGGAGAGCTTCTCTTCCAGCCCATGCCAGGGCCACCAGGGAGCTGCCCTCTGTGCTGTGGGGCAGACATGGCCTTTCCTCAGGAGAAACGTCCCTCTGTGTCTGAGAGGGTAACCAAATCTGGGAGAGGCTGGAACACAGGAGGTTCCATGTGAATATCAGGAAGAGCTTCTTTGCTGTGAGAGTGACAGAGCCCTGGGCCAGGCTACCCAGAGTGGCTGTGGAGTCTCCTTCTCTGGAGACATTCCAACTCCCCTGGCCACGTTCCTGTGTGATGTTCTCTGGGTGCCCCTGCTCTGGCAGGGGGGTTGGGCTGGGGGATCTTTCCAGGTCCCTTCCAACCCCTGGGATTCTGGGATTCTGGGAGGCACTTCTGGGATTTCTAGCCCAACCTCTGCATGGCAGAGTTGATCCCCAGACCAGACCAGGCTGCAGAGGGCTACATCTCCCTGAATCTGGGGTGCATCCAAAGCCAAGTGGGGACTCCAGCCAGAGCAGAAGACTCTGGCATGGGCCAGAGGTCCTATCAGTCCTCTGTGCTCTGGCTTTGGGGTGCTCCATGCTTGGTGCTAGAGGCTTTCAGGAGAGCAAGGGCTGTTTTCAGCAGCAGTAGCCCTGAGTGCTCTTTTCCTTCAGACATCCAGATGTTCAGGGGCTCCCTGTGATCTGCAGGGCTGAGGACAGTTCTCTGGAGCAGGGCAAGGTACCTCCTGGCTTGGAGATCCTCCACTACTCACTTCTTTCAGCATTTTCTACTTTCTCAGACCTTTCTGGGTGGCTCCCAGTGGGCACTGGGCTCTACAGCCAGCAAGGTAGCTTTTCCCTTAGCTCTTGGTCCTGGAAGTGGAACTCACTGCTGGTGCTACCCCAAGACAAAGCCAGAAATGGTTTGTGAAGGTGAAAGTGCTTCTCAAACAGTTTGTCCTGTCAGTGCCAGAGTGTTGTGGGATGGAGGAGCCATTCTACAGCCTCACAGCATCAGCTCTGCACTTTTCCCAGCAAACATTCATCTAAACTGGTCTCAAAACCTTGGCTATGGTGAGCCCTGTAAGGAGCTCCTCCCTCGTTAGTGTCTCCTAATTTGAGACCTTACCTATTCCTCTTTTGCTTCCACTGAAGTTCACTGCTCCTCAGTCACAGGAGATAGATCTAGTGATGGCTTCAAAACCATGTCTCTGCAGGATCAAAGCATGACTATGCAGACAGACAAGAAGCAAGGAGCAGATCCTGGCAGGTGCAGCCCCTCAGCAGGAGTAGGATTTTGGCACCAGGACATTGCAGCAGCTTTGAGCCTGGACTGTGAACATAGTGATGATGTGGGATGGGTTCTGCCACACAACAGGCTCCTTCTGAGCCCTTCTGTGTAGCTCACAGTTCCTCTACCTCAGTGAAACTGGATTGAATTTTCTTACATCCATCCTCGTGAGAACCCTCAAAGCTCCAGTGCCTGACATGACACGACGTGGGTCTCGGTGGGAGCTCAGCAGAGATACAGACCAGACATTCCTTAATGGAGAAGGAGCTCAAGGAAGCAAATTTATTGGGATGCTTAACCAGAAACTGCAGGGAGACATGGAGTATATAGAATGTTGTGGTATGTAGTTTTTTTGCTTGCTGTGAGTTCTAGAGGCAGCCTGAGAAGCTGATGAGAAGTCACTCCAGGCTGAGTGTCCTTCTCCCACAGGGAAGGTACATGTGGAATCCACAGATATCACACGTGATTTTTTTTTTATTTATTCTTGATTATGAACAGAATGACAAGGAATCATTGGCAAGCACAGGGGGAGAGAGCTGAGCAGAGAGGGAGCCTGTACCCAGAGACGGCAACTGGGAAGTGGCCTTCCACTGCAACCTACTACCCTTGGGCTCCCCTCTCTGCTCCAGAAAGGCTCAAGCTCTTTGACCAGGCAGAACCTTCACAGAATGTCCAGTGTGGACAGCAGGGGGAAGAAGCACTAACAATAGGAAGCTGGTTTGATGAGGATAAGGGAGGATTTGCAGTTCCCTTTGCACAGGTTGCCCCAGGTCATTCCGCCCTTGAAATTCAGCCGCACAGAGTAACAGGCAGAGAACCACCACCCACCCTCGTAGCTGTAGGCACAGTTCTTGCTGTAGGTGTCCTGGTCCCGATCCTTTGTGGAGAACTTCATGTTGTCATGCATGGTGTTGGGGTTGTCCGAGGTCATGGCGTCCCCCGCCGTGCCCGAGTAGGAGCCCAGCCGCAGCCGGTACCCATGGGACTCATCTTCCACGCTGAACAGGTTGTAGTCTGCAAAGTTGATGTTGTCTGTGGAGTCCTGGATGACGAACCTGACCTGGTAGACCTTCTGCTTGGCGATCTGGTGGATGTACTCGGTGCCCAGCCAGTACTCGCTGCGCACGTTGCCGAAGCCGTACTGGTAGGTGCTCCAGGACTCGGCCCAGGTGACCGGCGTGTCCCTCTGGTTCCTCTGCAGGACGGTCCAGCCCCCGTTGGTCACGTTCATCTCGCAATACACCACGAGGTGGTGCAGCCCTTTGGGCTGGATGATGTAGACACCACTGTGGCTGCCAGGAGGCATCTCGCTGCAGTCCTTGGGCCAGCCTGGGGCAGGAGAGAGGGTTGTGAAATCCCACACCACAAGACACTGAGAGCACCTGGTGTTTCTGTTGTGCCTACACCCTATTGCACACACATCGTCGGGCTGTATTCACACCGTGTGCTCATAGGAGCACCTCACACTCTTGAAATGATCCCTCTGAGCGTTGGGCTTTGTAACTTCCCAAGACAGGGTTCAAACTGGTGGAGATGCCCTGCCAAAATGTCCTGTCCTGCTGAGACCAAACCCGGGGTTGCCTCCCCCCAGCCCATGGTGCAGCCTGGCAGGGCTGTGGTGGTTTCTCCATAGCACACGGGTGATGTCCCACCACACAGACAACTTTCTGGGTCAGAAAGCCATTTTCTGTTCCAGCATGGAGAACCTGGCACTCTACAGGCATCCCAGAGGGCCAGGTCCAGCCATGCATGTGGCTGAGAGCTCTCCACGAGCCTCTAAGTCTCCTGGCAGTGGTGAACCCTTCTGAGCAGATTCTGTTCTTGGGTAGACTCACCATGGCCTGCTGGTGGGTGGTGGGCAATGTCTCGGGCCTGTCGGACATGGGTCATAGGATCATGGTTGTCACCATCATCTGAATTTAAAAACAGAAGAGACAAGAGTGAGTGTTGAGAGTAGACACATCACATCCCTGCTGGGAGAGCATGATCTTCTACAGATGACATTCCTGTCCTCCTGGCATTGCTCCTCATGCCAGAGAAACTTACACCATTTCAGACATTGCTCTGTTGGTGGCTTGAGGGAATTTACATGGTGCTGGAATGGGGCAGATGCTTCCTTGGTGAGGATGATTTGTGCACACTGTGTAGGGGAAAGACTCCAAATGGTGGTGGCAACCCTGGGAAGGTGGCTGCTGAAGTGTAGGAGGAGCAGTTAGGAAAGGACTTGGGAAGGAGAGGGATTAGAGGAGGAAGAAACATGGGAGCAGACACAGGAAAACTGTGCAGGTGTCAGAAGGTGGAACAGGGATTCTGTTCAGCTGCTCCAAAGGGAATTTGAAGGGTGTTGCTGGAAGAGAGGATGGTTTGGGGTGAACTAATTCAAACCTTTTGGAAGGGCATCTTGTGTGTATTCATTGATGGCTACAAAAGAGAGGAATGAATAATAGCTTATGGAATCACAGAAGCCATTCCAGATGCCTAAACCTGCAGCTGCTGGTCTCTGACATGCTCAAACATCTACTCCTTGCTTTCCCTCTCAGTGCTGTCCTACCCCTGCCCTCCTGTGGTGTTTAACTCAAGCCTCTTGCACTGTCCAGAAGCCCCTTCCTTCTCTCACTGCACCCAGAGCACACTCCTTCCTGCAGACAGACTGCAGCTGTCATTTCCTCCTCCATTGTCTTCTGAATTTGGGGCTAAACCATCCCATTTTTCCGCCAGCTTTTTGAAGCCTTTCATTTTCACTCTCCCCACATGTGTCCTGAAGCCCACCAGGGAACGTGGGGATGGGCCTGAGCCCCAGTGGAGTGGGAAACTGTCATATAGTGTGGTCTGGAGGAGTTCCCTACCATGGTGTTTACTTTTACTCCAGCCATATGAAGCTGTTCACTCATGGTGGTTTTACAGGCCACCACTTGTCCCTGTTCCCTTCTGCCTTCCCCCCCCTCCATCTGGGACTCCTCTACAGGGGGAGAGCTTTGATCACTGCCCTGTCTCCCCCCCCTGTGTCTCCCTGCTTCCCCGTCCTGCCCTCGTGCTGCTCCTGTTTGCAGAGCACCCACCACTGGTCTGGGTGCGAGGTGAGTGTGAAGCACCCAGCAAACCCTCTTTCTCTACTCAGACCTGCAGTTCTTGGGGAAGCCCAAGCTCTGGTCTCAGCCACGAGTTCTCCCTGTGTAGTTGGCACCGTGACAAGTCACCTTCAGAAGGAAGTCTGGTGTGAAACCAGCAGCAAACGAACCCTGAGCTCTGCTGCCAAGAGCTCTTCTTCCTCCCTTGGAAGGGAACCAGCTCTTTCTGTCGTGTCATGCCCCATCCACAACCCCCAGTATGATTCCAGGAGCATTTTCATTCCTCCAGTGCACCCTGGGATCTGTGCCATCATCTGTCTGGCTGCTCTTTGCCTCTGCTTCTGACTCTTTGGTAACTTCACTCAGTTCCTCTTTGTATTCAGCTCTTTCTTGAATTCACTTCTCCACTGACCTTGTGATTTCCAGATGTAGCTACTGATCTCCATGTCCTCAAAGCAGGTGGTGACTGTTTGCCTTAACATCTTTATCACTGCTTCTCCACGGAGGGGACCATGGCCCAGAACACCCTTGGCATGGTCTTGCTGCCAATGAGACTGAACCTGTCTCTTCTCCTGGGACCCTGTGAACTCTGGACTATTGGACTCGTGAGCAGAAGAACTTCACACCACACAGGAGGAGAGACAGGCAGCAAGCAGAGGAGGACTCTGAGATGATTCTTGTTCCAGCAAGACAATGACAGGACAAAAGAGAAATGGTTTTAAACTGAAAGAGGGGAGATTTAGGTCAGACATCGGGAAGAAATTCTTCACCATCAGGGTTGTAAGGTGCTGGAACAGGTTGCCCAGGGAGGCTGTGGCTGCCCCATCCCTGGAGGTGTTCAAGGCCAGGTTGGATGAGGCTTGTGCAGCCTGGTCTGGTGGGAGGTGTCCCTGCCTATAGCAGGGGGTTGGAACCTGATGGTCTTTAAGGCCCCTTCCAACCTTCAGCATTCTGTGATTCTATGGTTCTAAGACAGCCTATATTGGCATTGTCCACACATAGAGGAAGCTGAAGTCCTGCCTCCATGTGACAGGCATGTGGTTAGACTGGTGAGTGGGTCCGTGTAGGATCTGACTGAATGTGCCCTTGTTTGCCACTCCTGATGGTGGTGGTGAACTTACCTGGCTGGGAGGACTCAGGAGGAACATTCATAATTTCATCCAACGTGCCATTGAGGAGATGCAAGTTCCTGATGTCTAAAGCAGGAAGAGACACTGCCAGGGCCACCAGGGAAGTGAACAGCAGGAGACAAAGGCTCTGGGTGGCTGAGATGGGAAGAGATTGGGAAAAGAAGAAAGAGATCAGAACTCTTCCATCAGAGAGCCACGAATCCCATTTGACTCCTTTACTTGCAGAGTAAAATAGGAAAACAATTATTTACATGTAGTTCTCCCTCTTGGAACCATAAACCCAAATTCACTCATTTACATGAGCCACCATGAACTCATCAGCA